TGTATCTGTTCTTCTCCCAACTTTGAGACTTTTACCACTAAAAAAAGATGGCCTAAAATGAATATGAATGTCCCTGAAGTCAATCACTCTGCTTCTGTTTCAATTTTCTATTAGGATGAAATGGAAACAAGAACACTGAGTAAATGCAGAACAGATCCTTATGTCTGACAATGAAATCAATTAGCACTCAAGATATTGAGAAGGCAGCAAATAAGACATCCAAATGCTATCAGTGATCTCCTAGGGAACTGTAGAAGACAGGAGAGATGCCAAGATTCTGGAGACAGGCAAACGTTCTGATTTTCAAAGGGGGTAAGGAGTTACAGCCTGCCAGTTCCAGACTAGAGAATGTGGTATCACTCTTAGGCAAGGCTCTCAGACAGACTTGTAAAGTGACTCTTATAAGTACCTAAGATAGGAAGTAATGTCCACATGGAGCCAGCGTGAGGTAACCAAGAACCCATCAGCTTAAATCCATTGCAATCCCTTCTCTCTGATGAGACTCCAAGCCTAGGAGAGTAGAGAAATACAGCAGACATTGATAGAGTGAGGGGGAGCAGTGTGGAGGGCTAAGTCAATCCTTGGGGTTGTTAGTAGAAGTATTGCAGGCAACATCAAGGAGAGGGTAGTTGTTTTCTTTCTTTGACCATGTCTAGAAAACATTAATAATAAGATCTTTGAGGGAATCCTTTGGGTTAAACCTCTTTAAAAACATGCAGCTCTCTTCCAGGACACTGGCATCTGTGGAAAATAGAAAGATGTGGGTGGGCCTACATTCCTGAGCAGTAACAAATGGCTGGAGTCAAGTATGACTGTGCATTTGGACAGGATGTGTGCTCTCAGGTCTGTCATAATTCTCATCACTCCTATATTGCTGTCAGTAAGGTGTGCCACCTGCCACAAATCATTTTGACCAACTCCATTCATTCTGTCCTCCAAGCACCCAGCACATTGGGATTTGCAACTCAGGAAACAGAAGATCCAAAGAGAGTGAAGAACTGGTAGCTCAGTTGGTAGAGTGTTTGCTCAGCACAAATAAAGCCCTGGGTTCAATCCCCAGCATGGTGATGCATGCCTGTAATCTCAGCACTCAGGAGGTGGCAGTAGGAGGATCAGTAGCTCAAAGTTATCCTTAGCTACATAGAGTTTAAGGCTAACCTGGGATACAATAGACTCTAACAACAACAACAACAAAACAAAATAAAACAAAAAAGAGAGAGTGAAAGGGTAAAATGGTAAATGGTAGTGAACCATCTTTACCAAAGCAAATAAGGCTAAGTTTAAATTTAAGGTTAATTGTAGTCAAGGGCCGTAACCAGGAGTTCCAGACACCCATGGACAGTCATGGAAAAGGAATAGTCTTGTACTTAGAAGTCTCCAAGAAGAAGACCCAGCAGAACCAATAGGTAGATGGTTCAGTCTAAGAAAAAACACACTTCCATGAGCCACAGCTGTCCAAAGATAAAATATACGAGCTTAGGCAATGCCAAGTTCTCCATCCCTGGAAATTTGCAAGCACATGGTAGTATGCTACAACTTCACAGATACACAAGCAGAGGAGTCAAGAAATGATGAGGCAAGAAGAGGCATGAAGCTGAAAATGTTTACAATGGAAATGAGTTTGAAAGCATCCTCCTTTGTTATGTCAGTAAATGCTTCAAACAGAGACAAAAAAAAAAATAGGTAAGTCAACAAAGAACTGAACATTGTTTTTAAAAATCAAGTTACCCCTCACAAAATTCACAGGCAACAAAACCTGTCTAGTGAGGTGAACTGTCTGCACCAAACTGGCCAAATGATGCTAGGAAGAAAGTAACTGGCACCAAGCATTATTTTTGGTCATTGGTCAAACATAGGTCAGAGACAAGCCACAAAGGCAGTGGGATGAAAGTAAGAAGAGAAACAATGGAACACATCAAGAGGCAGCCAGTCCCCACTACAATGCTGCCATCTGCTACTGACATCAATCCTTCAAGGGGCTGTGTCAACAAACAATGTACCAGGAATACCAGGCCTGGGAAGAAACCAGCCTTGCAAACTTAGGTAAATCATTGCACACTGCTAGGCCTCAGTTTCTTATCTCTAAACTTGAGCTCATACTAACCTTTTTGTACACTGTGTGGGCCAAGAGTCGTGATGTCTAGGAGTGAGCCCTACAAGCCCAGGTACATCATTCAACCTTATGACAATAATAAACATTGCTGTGGATGGAACCCAGGGCCTCTTGCATGTTAGATAAGTGCTCTGCCACTGAGCTACATTCCAGGTCAACAAAGAGAATTTTGAGGGAAAAAATTTCACTTCAGGTACAGCAATAGTAGGATTTAAACATCATGGATGTTAACTACAGAGGAAAAACATCAAACTCCTCCAACCAGATTACAAAGAAATCCAGAGTATAGAAGAAAAGATTAGATCCTTTGGAAAAATATCCTGAGTTTTCATTATTACCTACTATTTTGTGATTAGTCATTAAAATAAAGGTGAAAAGGAAGGGAATCAGTCATTGCAATTAATGCTTAATTAGCCCTCAGGTAAGCCTGACTGGCCCAGTCACAGTAATCCTTTAAAGATGAGTATGTTTCCTATCAAGACAGTGTGTTTATAAAACCCAAACTGTCTAGAACTCAACATTCCCTTCTCTGTTACAGCATTTCTTATGGGAATCTCAATTTAAAAAAAAAAAATGGGGTTGGGGGGAAAAAACCCAGCAGCAACCAAGATAGTCTCAAAAAACAACATAAACTCCCTGAAAAGTAGATATTCAAAGACCAAAACTGGGCTTTTGTACTGAATAGTCTGATGAATTCAAATCTCTGGCAGCTCAAGGATTTGTTTCTAAATTGTCAGCAAGGCTGATAGATCCTAAGTCACTGCTTTTGGCATTGAGCTGAAAACTGAGGAGGCCAGGGAAGAAGGTATTTCTGTTCCTATTACCCTGGGGTCTATCCAGGGGTTATTCGCATGCTGGCTCAATCCATAGCTAAGACATGGAAAGCACAAAACCCTCCTCTCATGCCTGACGCCCTCCCCAGGTTTCCCCAGCATCTGAAAGCTGGGTATGGCTGGGCTGGCAGACCCCAGCCATTGACTTCCTGGGGCTGGAGTCCTCAGGCAGCACCAGCAGCAGGTGTGGCAACCTCAGATCACTTGAGTCTCAGAGAAGCATTCTGCTCAACAACAGGCCTCCACATCCACTCAAGATGTATTCTGCCCACTCCATGAGAAACCACAACATGACCTCTGCTGCAGCAAGGAGAACCACAACCAGAAAGAAAACAGATTCTGAGAGCACCATGCCCAGGCTTCAATCTGGGCACAGCCTCTGCAAAGAGGGAGCATAGTACATGGAGCCTCTAGGCTCTCCTTGCCAAAGCTGTACTTAGAACCGGTGAGGATGAGAGAAGCCCACCATCTGGCCAGAAGGATCTGCCTGCCTGCATTTAGCTATGCAATTGTGGCCCTTCCTCTCCCAGCATGGATTTAGGGAGCGGCTTCTACAGGAAGTGTGGGTTCTGTGGCACCAAAGCTGGAACCAACACCCAGAGGTCATCGCACACTCCCAGCAGGCAGGCTTTCCCCAGAACCATGGGAGCCAGGCAGCGCCTACCAGTGCAAATTGTACATGAAGGAGTTGGCTTTGGACCAAACCTGATGAACCTAAACACCAGCGTACAGGACTGGGCTGCACTGAGCTATAATACGTTTTCTACACTGAGCTCTCTCTTTATGCCTAAATGCCTGCCTGCATTAGTCCAGATCAATATGGCCCATAACAGTTAATCCATGGCAACCCAGGCCAGGCAAAAGACGCCAACAAAGAAGGGCTGCTTAAGGATGCTGCCCACCCCCCATACTCATGCATGTGATTTCAGCCCAGAGAAAGAGGCAGAAGCAAAACAACCACCCACAAAAGCCAAAATAAGGGGAGGGGGAGTAGATCAGAAAAAATATACATCAATAGTAAGGGGCTTTCACCATGAGATAAGGGGAGGTGGCTGTAATTGTCAAAATGGCCATAGAGTGACATGTCACTGTCAAGATGATGGAGTGCAGGAGACACTCCTAAAGTCAGGCATAGGATCCTCCTCACACACCTGCAATGCAGAGATCCCTGCCCTTTCTGTAATCCACGCTCCCAGTCCCGCACTATCTGCAGTGGGAGCCAGTCTGGACTTGTTCAGCTGCAAGTTCCTCCTTACAATAAGATTATTACTGCATAGCAACATTTCACGATGGCAGGGAGGAAGGAGGGGGGACAGAAGGAGAGAAAAGGGAAAGGAAAGAAGAGGGAGGCCTCCCTCAGCCCATAGCTCACCTTTTATTTGGGCTTCATATTCGGCAATGATCTCTTTGTCTTTCTTGAACTTAGTTTGAGATGACATCTTCCGACTTGGCCAAAAGAGCTGACAGGCTGTTTGATTTATTCTCCTTTTCTTCCCAAGTCCTCTCCCAAGCCCGGAGAATCACACGGTTTGGTTGATTTCACAGGTTTAGGGACTAATCTCTTTGACTTGGCTGCAGAGCAGGGGAAAAAAAATCCTTCCCCTTCAGGGAGGAAAATGCTCGGTGATGGCAGGGAAATGGTTCTAACGGCTTGCTCTGGTCAGCTCCTCTTGGGAAAGAAGGATCACTGTAGGAGCACCATAACCTGGCCCAGATTTCCAGGATTTTTCTTCCAAAAACTAATAATATCCAAGAACACACACAAACACAAACACACACACACGAGTGCACACACACTCACCCAGACACGCTTACACGCAATTGTGATGTGCACACACCCATCCACACGCGTGCACACACACCCTCACTCATGCACAAACACCGGCTTGCTCACTCTCACACAAACACACACAGGCACGCACACACACTCTCGTGCGCGCGCGCGCGCACACACACACACACACACACACGCACACACACACACAACACACACACACACACACACACACAAGAGGCGGGCGCCTCCTGGGTCGTGCAACCAGCCTCAGGCTCGCTTTGGAAGGCTCTGCTAAGAAGATAGTCAGGTTGCCAAAGGGCCGGTCATCTCGCATCCTCCCTCTGGTCCTTCGGCGCCTCTGGTCTGCTGTCCGGTGAAGAATTAAAGCCAGGAGAGGGAGATGTAAGTTTTCCTGTTGCAACGCTTAAGCTCCAATGAACCGAGGGCTGAACTGCTCGCCTGGCAGGGCTGGTGAAGCGCTCCCCCACCGCCTCGTCACTAGACTCCGCCTCCTCCGGGATTTTATAACAACTGACACATTGTAGCCTACAGGAGAACAGAATTCACTGCAAGCAAAAAGGAGAAGAAATATTCACAAAAGGGAAGGCGGCAGGGGGAAAAAATCAGGTTGAGAAGGCCTGAAAGGCTCCCACAAACTCCAGCTAGTAGTAGTTGTACGAGGGATTTCTCTAACAAACGCAGATCTGTTTCTTTGCATGGTAAATTCAGTTCAGTCCCCCAAATCATCCTCTCTATGACCCGTTGTCTCCCTGCCTCAGACTCTAGCAGAGGGCCTGATGCACACAGGAAAGGGAACTGATATTTGGGGGGGAATTACTTGAGAGCCGGTCCAATGCCAGGGGTTTCAGAAAGACAGTTTTACAAAGCTGGTGAGGACAGGGTTGCAACCAGGATCAGATGAGTCACAGTGTAAATTTCTATGAGCTCTCTGTAGAGGCTCTTTCATTCATTCAACAAATATATATCAAAAGCATACTATAGGACCAGAACTATTCTGAGCACAGGGATATAATGATTAAAATCAGGGGGCAGGAGCCTGATGAGGTGGCACATGCCTTTAATCTCAGCACGTGGGGAGGCAGAGGCAGGCAGATCTCTGTGAGATGGAGGTCAGCCTGGTTTACAGAGAGAGTCCAGGCCAACTGGAGCTACCCTGTCTCAAAAAGACCAAAACTAATAATAATAATCAGGAGCCAGAGAACTCTCTGCTCTTCAAAAGCTCTAGGCCCTCTATATAGTGCCTCTACTGGGTAGTGGTCACCATTGACAATGTTTTTGATGAAATCACACACTGCCAGAGCAGGATGCAATATGAACTGGCACCCACTGCAGTGGCGTGAGACAAGAGGCTTCATGGGCAGGGAAGACAAAAGCTGAACTATCTGAGTAAATAATTTAATGTGGTAGAGAATGGCAAGTACTACGGAGAATTTTAAAAATATATTGCAGAGTAGGGGCATCATGAATGTGGGGAGTTCTTGGGAGGATCAACTAAGAATATAAACTGAGGGGACTGGAGAGCTGGATCAACAGTTAAGAGCACTGGCTGCTCTTAAAGAGGACCTGAGTTTGGTTCCCAGCACTCACATGGCAGCTAACAACTATTCATAACTCCGGTTCCAGGAGACCCAATGCCCTTGTTCCAACTTCCATGGATATTACACACATGTGGTACATACATACATTCAAAACACTCATACATATAAAATAAAAATAAATCAATCAAAAACAATTTTTTAAAGAATACAAGCTGAGCTTAGCCCAGTACCTGGCACATAGTAAGCCTTCCATAGACAGTAGTGATTAAGATTACCCCAACATCATAGTAGGTGCAATGGATGTTTAAGTATTTAAGTTTGGCATAAGTGTTCTCTCACAAATCAAAGCGTAAAGGCTGGGATGATGGGATGTGACTTATCCAAGGTCACCAGGATTCCAACCCAGAATCCATTGTGGAAATACTCCAAATCTCCTGCATTCCATCAGAGAGATCAAACCCCTTTGACAAGCATGTACTTCAGGCAAAGGCCAGTATGATGTGTAAAACTGGAATCAAGAACTATAGGATTGCTGATCACTGGAATTTCACATTTAGACTGCCATAAGCATGTGTTGTCCCCCAAGAATCCCCTCAAAGAAATTTCTGCTGATGCTGTTGTTGTTGTTGTTTTGAGATAAGGTCTATGTAGCTCTGCTTGACCTGGAACTCCCTATATAGGCCAGGCTGGCCTAAAACTCACAGAGATGTGCCTGCATTTGTCTCCTGGGTGCTGGGATTAAAGGTAGGTGCCACCATACTCAGCTTGCTGAAGAAACTTTTACCAGTTTCCCAAAATAGGTACCATTTTCCACTTGCCTTTCTCAGAGTGTCCAATGCATTATTTGGTTTGGGTTCAGAAATAAACAGGTTGCCCAAGCCAGCTCCTGAGGGCTTCCCAGAGGAGATAGCATCTGGGATAGGCCTGGAGAAGAGAGCAGGGTGAGAGAGGATATTCCTTTAGAGTGAACAGAGAGCATTAAGGGCTGTGGGGTGCAAAGAACAGACTCTGCTTAAGCAGAAGTCCACCTGGTGAATCATGAGACTTATTACAGCTCTGAATCTAGAGGCAAGAGGTCACAGAGTTCAAAAGAAGATGCCACAGCCCGCATCCTCCTGCCTCACCCTTCCCAGGGACATGCTGGGGCTCTCTGCTACACAGAAGCAGATTACAAGTACAATCAAAGAAAGATAGGCTCCAAGATTAGCATCCCTGCCCTAAACCCAGTTCCTCAAAGAAAAACAGTGTCTTGTGGCCTGGAATCCAACTAACCAACTAACCAGATTCCTTCCTGTCTCTTCTATGAGTCTGGAGCCTATAAGGAGTGGAGCAGGTGACTCAGCGCTGTGTGCCCACTGGGGGCAGGAACCCAGTAAATGTCAGCTCTTTTAACCATGAGGAAAATTTAAAATCCACACATACATGTTGGAAACTCTCACATGGGGCACTGAGCCATGGAAATGTCACAAGACTCCATATGAAAATGAAGCAAAGTGGAGAGAGCTGCTGTGCTGAATTGCAGGAGCAGCTGGGTTTCCATACAAAAGAAATGGTGATTTGGGGCTGGAGAGATGGCACAGAACTGTTAGAGTTCAATTCCTAGCACCCATATCAGTCATCTCACAATTACCTGGAACTCTGGCTCCAGGGGATCCCTCTGCAGGCACCTGCCCTCATGTGCACACATGCCCCCCCACCGCCGTACATATGCATAATTTAAAATAATAATAAAATAAATCTATTTTAGAAATTTTAATGAGAAAAAACAAAAGAAATGGTGATTTCCATCCTGGCTCAGCCACATCCCAGTTCGGGGGGGGGGGGGCATAAGTGGTTTCTTTGCTTTCTCTGAGCCTCTGTCTCCTCATCTTCCAAATGACAGTGGCCTCACCCATACACAGGATGTGCCCATAGATTTAAAGAGCCTGGCGTAGAGCAAAAGTTCCAAAGAGGCCCAACCAAACTGCACCAAGGACCAGAGCTGGGGCTTCACACTTATGGAGAAAGTAGAAGAGAAGAATGAAGAAAAGAAGGAAAGGAGGGAAAGGATTGTGGCCCCTGAGAATTCCTCACCATGCACAATGACCCTATATTATCTCAATCTTCTGTCCCTGGGAAGAGGTGGGTAGCCTAGGCAGGGCCAGACCACTGTGGCTTCATCCAGTCTCTCCTAGTCTTCCCCACAGCTCACTGGAAGAGCTCAGTCACCTTTCTGCAACAGCTTCCCTCATGACCATTATTTTTTGTTGAATGAGAAACATACTATTCTTTTCTAAATTCTCTTAATTAGTTTCTTTTTATTTTATGTGTATGAGTGTTTTGCCTACATGTTGTACAATTCTCGAGGAGGCCAAAAGAGCACATTGGATTCCCTGGAACTGGAGATAGGGGCGGTTATTATTCACCTTGTGGACACTGGGAACCAAACCCAGGTTCTCTACAAAAGCAGCCAGTGCTCTTAACCACTGAACCGTGTCTCCACCCCACCCCACCTCCAATTGCTATTCTTGATGTTTACCCTTCATATGGCAGCAATAGAATCCAGATTCTACCCAAATAAATGTGTATGTAACAGGAGAGGGGCTAAACCATGTGATTTGACATTTGATCCTCCCACCCAAGGAAGGGACCGCCTCTGGAAAGGGTATATTCTATTTTCTTCAGGCTCATTTCCTAAATTCTTTTAGATAATCCTGAATGACAATGATTTTTTTTGTTTGTTTTTTTTTTTTTTTTTTTTTGAGACAGGGTCTCCCTGTAGCCCCAGTTAGCCTAGAACTTGCTATGTAGGCCAACTAGCCTCTATCTAACAAAGACCTACCTGCCTCTGCCTCCTGAGGGCTGAGATTAAAGGCTTGTGCCACCATATCCAGCTTATACTGACTTTTTTTTAATCAAGCCCTCCCTCCATACAGGGTGAGGGTACAAAAAAAATCATACATATTTTATAGAGATGGGTTCTTGCTATAACCGATTTGGCAAGGTACTGTTATCATCCCTGGTTTCAAGTGGAGGAAACAGGCACACAGCAGAGAAGCAATTTACCCATGAACATAAAACTAGCTAGTCTGTCCAATATTGGAACCCAAGGGGTTAACCAAAAGAAGAATTGTCATAATAATAAACACTATCAAGTATTTACATATTTTTTTCATTCTATGAGTGTATTTGTCTTAATAGTTTCAATTGAAAGTTTTCCATTAAACAAATTTGGGGTTAAAAATAGAAGGAAAACATCACAAATGGCCTTGGTATGACTTAAATTGCTATTACAGCTGAATAAGACAAAACCTACCGAACTGGTTTCTTTTCCTGATAGAAAAAAAAAGGCTGCACTTGAAGGAAGAGTGACCAGAACAGTTTTTGGTTTAAGGAAATTTTATTTTTCTGGACAAATAGAAACACTCTCTCCCCTCGACCCAAATGACTAGTTTTGTGACATTTTTCTACACTGCTACCAGCCAATGCACCCATGGCCAGTTCAGAGGATAATTCTGGCCTTCAATCTCAGCACTGCAAAATGAAA